GAGATGGAAAGTGAGAAAGCAAGCCACCAGGTCCAGGACTTGAACTGAGGTCATGTAGGAGTCCAACGCCCTTAACCACCATGTCATCTGCCAGCCCCATTTCTTTTTCTTTTTTTATTTTAGAATTATTTTATTTATTTAACTTTATTTATTATTATTATTATTTTATTTGTAATAGAGCATGTGTGTTCACCAGAGAGAGATACACAGACAGAGAGAGAGAGAGAGGGAAAGTGAGAAAAGTCCCTTCTAGGTTCAAGACTTGGATCACGGTTGGCCATGTGGGAGTCCAGTACCTGGCTACCATACCACCTGCTGGCCCTTTGATGTCAATTCTAAGGCAACAATTCTTGGCCTTTTTCATCCAATTTTCAGTGATGAGTATGAGAAACTTGTTCAGAAGTATATGTTATCTTTTATATATGTATAAATATGCATATGTTTACGTGTTTACATTTTCATTTGAAAGAAGGAAAAAACCAAACACTAATTAAAATGATTACATAAGGGGAGGAAGAGAACAGAAGGGAGAAAAAGCAGGAACTCTAGATTTCTCTAAGTGTATCTTGTCTCATAGTTTTGACTTGGGGAAATGCAAATGTTTTTACACCTAAAAAATAAAGGAAAACAAAGGTAAACGAAAAATGAAAAATAAAACAGTTTCTAAAAAATACAAATAAAACAGAAACCAATGAACCTAGGTGTTTACTGTATCAACAACAACACCAACAGACAGAATTTATGTGAAATGATCTGCAACCTAGTACTTTACTGTTTATTTCCTAGTGGAGTATCTGCTGATGACAAAGACAACACGTGACACCTTAAAGTGCACTCAGCGTCCTTATTGTTAGTAGTAACACTGGCATTATTATTTTGAAACTTATGCTCACTTTATGATGAATAGCATTACTTATGACACATACGTAGTTGTGGGCCAGCTGGTAACGTGGTGCGAGGGCAGCCGAGCCCCACACGGCTGATTCTGCTGCTCAAGTCCTAGATATGATGGCTCGGAAAGCATACTGCGTGCGTGTGCCTGCCCAAAACTCTGAGGGGAGACTGGAAGAGAAGGGATCGTGGCATGTCGTCCCCCGGGGGACACTTTCATATTCTCTCTCTTGCTGTCTCTCTCTGAGGAGTGCACACACCCTATAACAAAAATAAATAAATAAGGAATTATGTTAATGCTGTTAATATTCAAGAGTTTTAGCATAAAATAATACAAATATGAGAGAGTTGAATATATCAGTATGAATCAATGTTTTGTTTTTATTTTCCTTTCAAACATCTACTTTCTACTTCTGCCTGCTGAGAAGACCTAGAAGCAGAAATAACCCAGTAGAGAAGTATACTCTAATTCCCTCCCCCTCAGATCATGGTCTCTAAACATCAGTTCCTGTTATAGGAATCAGGGGCCCTTTTATTCTAGGTCTGGGAGAGAAACGTACAAGATGAGCTGAGACTTCTTGTCCAGCCTTGAAGAATAAAGTTATTGAGACTGCTCCGTCCTGTCGGAGGCACCTGACAAAGGCGAAAGAATTCGAGTGTCTAAAAATAAATAAGGATGGCAATAAACCCGATCAGAATGAATATATAAAGATATTTGCACCAGCACCGAACACCAGCAACACGTTAAACCGGGTAAGATAAACACACAAACAAACGCAAACAAACTCAGGAAACTCAGTCATTAGTCACTTTCGGAAGTGCCTTTGGAGGGCACCATCGCATTACTGTGTCGTACAGGAAGTAGAAGAGTAAGATGCTTATCTTACCTCTCCTTGTGTGGCTTCTAGGCCAGGATATAGAACGGGTGGGAAATGCCAGACCAGAGTCCAAGCAGGTGTCAGGCCAACCTCTCTTCTCTTCCAAAGAAGAGGAGAGGAACTAGTAAAGGATTCTTTGCTTGACTGTACTTTAGTCAGGCTCCTGAACCTCCTAGGCTCATCTCTGCACTGCCAGTTATAGCAAAGAACCTCGCTGAGTCAGTTTAACCAGAACACTCCAGCCTCAATTCCCGATCAGGTTTCTCATCCTCAGCCATCCTCCAGATGATTCTGATCACCCAGCCCATCTCGTAAGAATCCTACTAGGTTGGCTTAGCCAGGATCACCCTTTCGCCTGATGTTACCTCTTGGTAATGCCACCCTGTTCCTTGTAAATTCCCCCTTGCCCTTCTTTTTATTTATTTATTTTTTTCAGGCAACCTGTAAGATGGGGGTCGTGCAGACTGAGCATCCTATTAAGAGCAGCTGACCATGTTTCAAAACAAGAGGAGTCCTTCTGGGACAAATTGGCAAGAGGAAGCTCCTAGGATACTACGAGAGCATTGTTCTAGTCTCAGAGAAGCCACCGAGGGCACCTAAATTGCCAATTTGATGGGAAAACATGATATAAATGGCATTTCATTGTTCTATCTTCTTGAACTTTGAGTCAACCTTGGTATATATTAAGAAAACAATGACAAGAGGAATTTGATATAAAATGCACAGTTCAGGCAGCCATGGGGATCATTTTAGAGCAGATACATAAGCCGTGGATTTGGAGCAAACCAAGCTGAAGAGGATCATAGGATCCTGGAGCTTTAGACCGAGGTTTATTCAGGGCCTAGACTCAGGCGAGCTCTGAAAGGGTGCCCACCAAGCCTCTGCCCAGGGCAACAAGGCCATAACAGTGTCTGTGGGTTGATCCCAGAGCCCACAGGGATCAGCAGAGGAGAGGGCCTAGGGACCCTTTCATGCCCCATGCTCATCAGCCTAGGGACAGACCACGCCAGAGTCTGGGCAGGACCTGCTCTCGAACCAAGAATGGAAGTAGCCTATCCTGGCAGCTAAGTGGGGTCTGGAATCAGGAAAACTATTGTTTCATGGAGGGCCAGAGAAACTCAGAGAACCTTCCTGCACTTGCTACCATCCTCCCCCACCACCTCTGCAGTCTCTGCTTCTGCCATTGCTTTGGCTGTCTCCCTCCATCCAAGGCCTCCCTCCATCCGAAGCTTCCCTCCCTTCCACTTCCTTTGGTGCCCAGCCTTGCCAGGGTTTCTCCTGTGGCTGCCAGCTCCAGTGGGGGCTTCTGGGGACCTGGGAGCCTTAGAACGAAGCTTCAGGGTGTCACTTGGAGATTTTGGAGGATGAAGGCAGGACCACCAGGGGGCAGCATGGAGCTGTGCCATATTTACTTGTGAGGCAAATACCTGTGCAGCTGTTTCCCAAGACTGAAGACAAGCTGTGGGCCCACATACCCACCCTGTCACAGTCCTCCCTCAGCCCTCAGAGTTCATATGCTTTTCTAGAAAGCACTTCTTTCTTCTCCACTACCCGGGTACCCAGAATTCTAAGGTGGAACACTGTATTAGGCTTAATTAATTTTATGTAATTGGGAGGTCAAGTTTGTTTAGCTCAAAGATGGAAAGTTGTAACCTGAACTCACAGGACAGGGATGGGGGAACCCAAAACTCAGTGTGGGAATGTTGCTGCAGGCCTGCTGGGCTGTCCTCCACCTGGCGCAAATTACGCTGTTCTGTGGGTCAGTCGGTGACAGCAGTGCAACGCAGGGCTCTGTGAGGCAGACCTACATGCGATGGTTCTGGGTTCATGCTGGGGACCTCCCTGAACATGTGGGGCACATGTGTGCTATGATCTGGGGCTGGCTGAGGCTGCGGGTGGTGGTTCTCTGTCTCTGTTCCTCTTTGTCGCTCTCATTCATGGAAAAAAGACAAAATAAAATACATACCATGCTCTTCATCAAAGGAAAAGGAATATTTAGAAGCTAGTTGTACTGAAACCAAAACAAAAAATATGCAAGCAGTTGTCACAATAAATAGCTGTGTGTGCGTGTGACTGGTAGAAGTCTTATTCCACAGGTTCAGTTGTTCAGGAAACACTTATTTATGGAAATCCAACCACGTGACTCTCAGCATGTCGGGGCTCTCTACTCCCTCTCAAGGCCAGAGCACAGCTGGGCCCTGGGGTCTCCCCTGCCTCTGTTTGCTGTGGCTTTTTGGGAGGCACCTAGACTTGAGCCCTTGGGTCCTATTGCCAAGGCACTAGAATTTTTGCTGGGGCTAAAAGCCTCAAAGTCAGGGTCTGGCCCCTCTAGGCATACTCCAAAGCCACTCTACCAGGAGGCATAGCCACTTTAGGGGGCACCATGGGTGGGACCATGGGGCCAGCAGATGGCATGGTGGTTAAAGCACTGGACTCCCTGGGACCAGCAGTTAGCATAATGGCTATGTCACTGGACTCCCATGTAGTTGACTGCGGTTCGAGTCCTGGACCCGGTGGCTTAAACTCATGCCGATGCTTGTGCGTGCGTGCCCGAGATCCTGAGAGGAGAATGGAGGAGAAGGGATTGCGGCATGGCCATTCCCCTCTGGGGAGTGATTTTTCGCTTTCTGTCTCTCTGTCTTTCTGGCAAGCGCACGCACCCTATAGCGAAAACCTCTCCAAAAAATAAAAAAATAAAAAGCACTGAACTCCTCCATGGGTGACTGCAGTTCAAGTCCCAGACCTGGAAGCTTGCTATCTCATTTTACCTCTCTTTCTATCTCTCTCTGGTGAGCACATCTTCTCAATAGCAAATTAAAAATTTATAATAAATAAAATTTTAAAAATTCTTTAAAAGAGAGAGAGAGAGAAACCAAAGGCCCCTGGTCCTGAGCTGACACTCATAAGCTCCTGCCCTCTCGCCATGTCCTGTCTTGTGCCACCTTGGGACTCTGCAGAGAGGCCCCACCTGCAAGACGACTCTCACCAGATATGACCTCTTAAACTTGGACCTTCAAAACCATGAGCTAAGTAAACCTCTATTCTTTATAGATGGCCCAGACTCGGGTATTTCTGTTACAGCAACACAAAGAACTAACTCCTCAGCCCGGCGCCATGAGTCAGGAGTGTGCAGTGACCTAAGCACTGCCTGGGTAAGACTCAGCTTTCTAGCTTGGTCTTCTGGGCACTTGCTCTGAGAGGGGACCAAATGTCCTTCCCAGCACTTCTTTTCCTCTAAAAGAAGATCTGTCCTTATCCTTCATGTGGAAATCCTCATCCACACCAATCAGGCGTGTCTGACCCCAGCAGGGGACACGCCTGGGCTCAAGCTCCGACTCTTGCTTTATTTGTTGTCTGCTAATTAAACTTTCTGATATACTCCACGCTAAGAGTGTTCGCAAGGCAGAGATCATGGGGTAAAGGGTCCTGCCTGGCTTGGCAAAGTGGCAGCTCCCTGCTCACTGTGTACTAATAAAGAGGCATATACGTGACAGTGCGTGTCTGGGCCTTGGTGACAGCTTAGGGCAGAAAGTATGTGATAATCAGAGCCTCAAACAACCCAGGAAGCACACTGGTGTGGGGCAGATCTCTCTGGCAAATAATTACGACAGCAATACATGGCGAAGAACTTTAGAATGTGTGCGTACGTGAAGACAACACTGAAATGCATGTCATTGAAACGCTGTGGCTTAGTTTGACATTTATGACTCTTATTAAAGACCCCACAGCATAATCCCACTGGCTGGTTTCACCTCATTGAATTTTCCAGTCTAATTCTATTGCTAACGGTGATGGCAGAAGACATGCATCTCTTTTTCTGTACTGTCTGGAGGTTCATTGATTAATTCTTCAGTTCTGTTGCAGCGCACTGTCCTGACTCACTGATAGTTCTTGCTTGCTTATCTTACAAGGAAGTCATGGGCTGGGGAAGACTTCCCTCTGTCACATACTGCTGCCACTTTGGGCTGAGAGGAGGCCTTACAGGGGAGCGTCCATATGTTGCAGATCATGCAGGACCTGGGAGTGGCCATGCCCCCTTCTGAACGGTATTGCCCTATGTCCCTTCCTCTGTAGGTATTCATTAAATGCCAGGTCCCTGATAAGCTCAGGGCAGGCAGTCCTTCTCTGGAACCTGTTCCTTATATCAGTCCTCTCCCAGTTTCAGGCCGGGGTAGCTGTCCCCTCCCTGCTCTCATAAGACCCTGGTTCACCTCCTTCTTTGCTCCTTGATCTGTAGTGGTCTGAGGATACTCTGTCTTCCCCAGAAAGCTGTGTCTCTCTGTGTCCCTGCCCCTAATACAGAGCCTGGACCTTTGCAGTCCCTTAAGAAGTGTCCAGAGGGTCTTAAAGCAGTGGTCCACAAAAGACAAGGTGCTGTGGTGGGAAAGCATATTTTCCTCGATATGCAGAAAAGGCTGGACCTTAACCTGGATTGCTGGGAGGCAATCCAAAGTGCTGCGCGAGTTCCCACCTTGATGCCATGCTTTTGGAGAAAAGTGATGATGTGTGCACATGGAACTGGTAGTGTCTGGGCAGAGAAAGAGCGCAGGAGGGATTTGATGGTTTTATAGAACATGTGCTTTGGCAGAAAACGAGTACCATGAAGAAGTGGTGGGAAAGCTAATAAGAGGAAAGCACATCCCTCTACTTCATCACTTGGGCAAGGGGAGTCTAGGCCCCGAGCAGAGCAGCTGCTCTTGGCCAGAAGACCACTGGAAAGATGTTTACTGAAAAAGCTCTTTGTTAAAGTGTGTGAAAACAAAAGACAGTCTAGTTCTAAACAAACAAACAAACAAAAATGTGTTTGGAGGGGCCTAGCTGCAAGTTCGACAGGCTGAAACACATGGGAGGCCTGGGCTCTTGTCCCAGTCCAACCTGAAGGTGCCTATAATCCCAGCAACTCAGGAGGCTAAGGAAGGAAGATCACAAGATTGAGGTTGATTTGAGCAACACAGCAAGACCCTGTCTTAAAAACAACAGGACACGGTGGCACATGTCTGTAGTCCTATATGGGAGGCTAAGAAAGGAGGGTCAAAACATGGAGAGACCCTGTCTTAAAAAATGAGGAGGAAAAGGAGGAAGAGGAGAAGGAGAGGTTTCTGGTCAATCACATGACCAAAAGGCAAGAATGAATTTTGAATTAATTGTATGTGTGTCATTATAACATGTTACTTTAATAGGGCTGCTACAAGCAAATGAGGTGAAGACTGTGAAGTAGGTTCACCGTGTACCATATGTACCCCAGGGGAGAACTCTGAACACCTTGCCAACACAGTGCCCCAATATCAACCCACTTGAGGAAGTCCGGTGACACAGAACACTCACACAATGAGTTAAGCAAAGCAACTTTATTACTCTCAAATAAGCGGCAAGAAGTATTAGAATCCCCAAATCTATGATGAGTTGGTCTCACAAGGCTTAGGAAAGCCTGGTTTGTACATGCCTCTAGTTGCCCCATAACTGAGGGTTCCCAAAATACACTCCACTCTGGGATTTAAAAAACCCAGTATTTTAAAAAGCTTATTTATTTACTTCTTCCATGAGCATGACACAGACAGAGACAGGCACACCTAACAGTCTTCATGCCACCATCCATCCCCAGTCTCAGCCAACCTGGAACACGAGCACATGCCTGGCATGATCGGGGAGGGCCTG